AAAAAAAAAAAAAAAGAGAAAGAATTGAAGAATATTCAGAAGAAGAAAAAAAATATATGGAAAAACTGCAACCACAAACAACAAAAGAATTGAGTAGTTTAACAAAAAACTTATTTACAACTGTTCGTCTATTCATTATGATATTTGCCTATTTAACCATTTTAATAAAACTTTTTCGCTCCCCTCTTCAACCAAATACATTAACTTTGTAACAAAAAAAAAGAAAAAGAAGGACAAGAAGTGTTCATTTATAGTTTTTAAAAGTCCACAGAAAATAAAGCAAAAGAAGACAAAAGAAAAAACAATGTGAAAATTAACCACATATCATTTGATAAAAAATTATTTTTTTGAACTGTAAAAAAAAACTGAAAAAAAATATGCAATTTTTTTTTAATTTTTCTTAAGTAAGATAACGGCTTAGAAGGAGTTGTTTCAGTTGTTTTCAACAGTTTTAAAAATTTTAACAAATTTAGGCAGTGTTCCAATTGCTCAACATCATTTTCATTCTCAAATTATCAACTTAATGACCAATGTTTATTGGCAAATTGAAGTCAAAGGTAACAGTTCCAAATGAATTGATGATATGTTTTGGCAACAACAAAACATATTCTGGTAACCATATATCCTTGTAAATAATATTCAAACAGAACAATGTTAAAGCATTCAAAATTATGGTGTTTGTTGATGATGCTGTTGTTCCTTTTTTTTATTCATCAGTTAATGCTGCTGCTGCTGTTGCTGTTGCTGCTTTTATTTGCTTGTCTATCATTTTTTTGAGTATTCATGTTTTTGGTATAACAATAAGCATATACCAAGCAAAACAAAAGCAAAAAAAGATTTATTCAGTAAAAAATTTATTGAATAAAGATGACAGCTAAAAAATAGAAAAAACAAAAAACAAACAATTCTTCTTTTACATACAGTATCAAAAACGAAGAAAACAAAGATTTATCTTTACTGCAGTAACAAGCAAAAATAACTGAAAACAATTAGAATCCCATAAATTCTTTTTACTGTCATATATCTGAGGTATTGTGTTCACTTACCCATATATTCAGCAGTGATTCAAAAGTAAAAAAAAGAAACCAATTCAAAAAAAAAAAAAGACATTCCTTTAATAAACTTTATGTGAAGTTACTTTTTTTTTTTCTTGTTTCAAACCAATAAATTTATATTAAATAAATAAATAGTTGTACATAATTTTCCATAAGCTGCTGTTCTCAGCTATTGTCGTTTTTCCAATTGCTGTTGCTCTCAATTCTTCTGCCGCTACTAAAAGCGGTGTTGATGATTTACTTCTGTTTACGGCGCCTTACATAAATGATGCAGAAAATGAATTTAAAAGGTTATATTTGGTAGTTGATGAAAACATAACAAATAATTTCATATATATGTGGTTTTTTTATTTGTTTCATTTTCGATTTTCCCATAAAACACCATAAAAATCTATAGAGGAGAAAAAAAAAAAGAACGAAAGAGATAGCTAAAAAAAAACTTTGTCTGCGCTTTCGTGAAATAAATGATAAACGAGGCGATGCAATCAAATAAAGTTATCTTGTTTTAGAAGAAACATTACCATTTAAAAGATTACCTTTTTTTTTTCTCTAGCATTGATGAAGCTGAATAAAAGCATGTCAAGACAAATGCTGCAAAAGAAGGACAGGGAGAACAAGAACAAGAGCAAGATGAAGCGAATGAAGAAAAAGCAACAGCGGCAATAGCAGGAGAAGATGAAGATGCAGAAGATGATGATGAAGTTGTTGAAGACAAGGAAAATGAAGACAAAAAAGAAGGACTGCAAGGAGAAGCAGTTAGCAATGTTGTTGATGACGACGACGAAGAAGAAGAAGATAGAAGAATAAGAAGAAGGCCAACAAGACAAACATATGTAAGTGTCTTTATTTGAAGCCTCTGCACACATCTGTGTTGCCACCGTTAACGGCCATTCCGCTCTTTTGCAGTCTCGTTGTTACATAGTTTATCTATTTATTTATCCGCTTTTTTTTTTCACCATTTCTTAACTGCACTTCTTCAACTCTGCGTTTTAGCAACAACTAAGTTAGAGTAAACTGGTTTTCTACCGTAAACAATAATCATTAATCATCCAAAGAGGAAAGAAAATGATTTACTTAATGAAGAAGATAACGACAAAAAACCTTTGTCTTTTGAAAAAATTTTTTCCTTTTGTTGCTGTTACTATCGTTCTTTTTTAGAAAAAGTAGGAAAAAGAAAGAGAAAAATGGGAACTTTAATTATTGTTGATATTGCAGGAATTTTTATGATTGTTAGTGACACATCAGTAAGATCGGTTTGGTTGTAAGGAAAGAAATAGGCGAAGAAACACGGAAACTTAATCACTTGTCACAACAACCACTGACAGCATATCATCTCAATTAGTGACAAAGGCATCAGATGACAGTATTTCGGTTCGGTAAGTGTTTTTCAAAAATGAAAATTGACAACTGGCTAGACTGAAGATTGAAAAAAAATATTAGATACAAAAATGAGACATTAATAGCTTTTAATGCATATATATATATATATATATATATATATATATAT